AATCATGCAAGCCAAATGAGCCCTTACAGAATTACTTCAGTTACAGGTACATGTCGAAGGGAACTTTGTGTGGTTTGTCCTGCTCCTGCCGCGACGTCGTCCACCTCACCTGAGCTGCTCCATCGACAGAAGCATCCACCAAACCAGACATCACGACTCCTGACCGTCTTTCGCCACCTCAGATCTCTTTCCCTGCCGCCGGCACCCACCACAACGGCATCACCATCATCGACTCAGCAGATGAACCTGAGGAGTACACGGGTCCACAAGAGAGGTCACACTCTTTTGTTTCTGCTTATGTTATGCATTGCTTAAACTTACCTGTTACTTTATCGTCCTGTTCAGCTCTTGGACTCCCAATTCAGGTCCAAATTAATGTTCAAACTTCAGTTCTAAATTAGTTGTGGGGCACATATCGAGGCAGCAATGAATAGTATGTCTGTCTAATATCTGGTTCACCTAGGGTATGCCTATGTTGTTCATCTTGGGTGGGAAACAAATAGTAAAGCAATCATCATCTGTCTTTTTATTAATTTAAAGCAATCATCAGCGTGCTATCATTATTTTTGGATCCATCCACTGGTTGTTACCATCACTCTAAATTTATGCATGCTCTCCTTACATAATCTCACCATATTTTTTCGTATGCATGTCAGATATTGTACACAGTCATGTTGAACATGTAGAGAAAAAGAGAAGAGTTTTGCACGGCAATACAATGTCATGCAGACATCGCTCCATGGTGGGTTCAATGGCAAACCCTCCCCACCCCTCTCCAGATTGTAATCTAGAGGAAGATATCTGTTCTGAGGCGAATTCAGACGTCACTGACCACTCCTATTTACCCCCCCCCCCCAAGGTGTTTGCTCTACCTTGGCATGATGATGTTAGTCATATCATGCATATGTTGCCTTGCAGTGCCTACTTTTGACATCATATATGTCATCTGCTTAGTTTAGACATGTTCTGTAATGCCACCTGCTTAGTTTCTATATCATATATGGGAATTATGCAGTCTCATGTCTTTTAGCCAGCCATAATATATGTGAAATGTGCAATGCCATCCTGTTTAACCAGGCATGATATATTTGAATGATATCTTGCCCATCCTTTTCTTCATTACATTTCCATTTGTCGACAATGTTTGTACATTAAACTACTCTTCCTGTGAATCAGCCATTTGGGTGGGAGATGGAAAAACCTGGAGTGAAAACAAGTCCTTTAGAGCAGACAGTGCAACCTGTCGAAGCAGATCTCTTGTTGGGTCCCGATAGCTCCTCAGAGATGGATTCAGAGATAGATGACCAGTCATATTCCCCCACTGAGGTGTATGCTCTAACTTGGCATGGTTATACTGCTCACACTACAAGAAATATGTCAACTAGTGACCTTGTGTCAGTGACCCTAGAAGAATTGGTCATAGATCTATGACCATTTCAAACCAATTGGTCAAAAGCTGTTCGGGCGGCTCCAAACCCTAAACCATTGTGACCATTTTGGTCAGAAAGGTCATAATTTCCTTACACGAAATGGTCATAAAGCAAACAGTGCTAGTCCACTGCCTGATTTCTAGTTGTTAACGACCAATATAGATGGTCATAGCCTTGTAAATTGTGGTGGGTTGCGATGACTAGGCGCCATCTCATCAGTTTTGCCTATGTGTCATGTCCATGTGTCAATTTTTGCCCTAGGTTGTGAAGCAACCTATATTTCTGTTATTCCAAAAATTCCCAAAAAATTCTCATAAATTGTTTGGATCATATCTTCTTCAAATATGTCAAACACCTTCCTTGCCTAGTTCAAAAATAGTTCAACGATATTCATTTTCCTATTTTGTTCAGAGTAGCACTTTGTGAAGGAAGTACCACTTTGGGATGTCCAAATAGTATCCATTTTCTACAGTGCTTCCCTATGCCCAAATAACCATCCTCCACCAAATGCCAGCTCAATCCATTCATTATTTTGCGCCCAGCTTCAGCATTCATATTTATGTCCAGTGTGGTACTTTGCAAAGCAAGTACCACCTAGGCTCCTCCTTTTGAGCTGAAAATTTGTGAAGACGGTCTTCTTAGTAACTGATCATCCTCAGCCAAAACTCACGCCCATTAGCCATGTATATTTACCGTACCGCTAATCAAACACTTGGCTGGTAATTCATGTTTGAGCATCGATCGTTCTCCTCGTGAGAATCTTATGTTGTAGTTTTCTTCCTAGCACCTACCTGGGGAGTGCCCAACCCACTAGACATGCCTAGGCCGCCCAGAACACATGGCAACGCCACGGTCACGAGGTGACCATGCGGCGGGCATGCGAGTTTACGCGCTCTAGAGTTGGGGCCCTCGGCTACCGCCCAAACCTCGATGTATCGCCACCAAACCATGTATTTATGATTAAATAGGTACTTATGTAAATAGAAATGATTTTTGGGAAAAATAAATAGCAAACTATGAGGCAGCTGTAGTTCAAATTTGACCCGCTTCCAACTGAATCGGTGGAAATTTGTCTTTTTCACCAGAGGTGGATCAAAACTTTTTACATCCAACCATTTGTCAATTGTGCATTAAATATGTCCTAGTATTTTAGAAAATTGATTTGGTACAATTTTGCAACGAATATATGGTAGGTCCTTCACAAAAAAACCTCTTTTCGGGCACTCGAAAAATGGAAAATGAATTTTCCGTGCAAAGAAAATGAAAACTCCCTTAGGCAACATTGTTTGGAATTCCAATATGCACCCTTGTGCACAATATGAGATCATTTTAACAAACTATGCCATGAATGTGGCCATAAGATTGAGCATGTGGGTTGAAAGCCATCACTCCACATGTGATAGCTCGTTTCTGAGAATAATTTTTAAAATAATTGTCGTATTACAAGTTTATAATTTTTGCTGGTAACTTGGCCACATATAATGACACAATGCGAAGGTTTTCCAATTTTTTGATTTTTTTGAATTTTTTATGCCTGTTTCAAAATGCGATCAAAACGGTGGGAATGACTGTTCATAGCTAGTGGTTGAATCTTGGAATTTTTTTGGTGTTTCTCTGATTAAATAGATACTTATGTACCTAGAAATGATTTTTGGAAAAAATGAAGAGCAAACTACGAGGTAGCTACAGTTCAAATTTGACCTGCTTCCACCTGAATGGGCACAAATTTGTCTTTTTCACAAGAGGTGGATCAATACTTTTTACACCCAACCATTTGGTCAATTGTGCATTAAATATGTCCTAGTATTTTAGGAAATTGATTTGGTACAATTTTGCAACGAATATATGGTAGGTCCTTCACAAAAATACCTCCTTTTGGGCACTCGAAAAATGGAAAATGGTTGTTTCGTCCAAAGAAAATGAAAACTTCCTTAGGCAATATTGTTTGCCATTCCAATATGCACCCTTGTGCACAATATGAGATCATATGAACAAACTATGCCATGAATGTGGCCATAAGATTGATCATTTGGCTTGAAAGCCATTGATTTCCACACGTGATTGCTCGTTTCTGAGAACATTTTTAAAAAATAATTGCCATATTACAAGTTTATTATTTTTCCTGGGACTTGGCCACATATAATGACACAATGTGAAGGTTTCCCAATTTTTTGATTTTTTTTGAATTTTTTATGCCTGTTTCAAAATGCGGTCAAAAACACTGGGAATGACCGTTCCTAGCTAGTGGTTGAATCTCGGAATTTTTTTGGTGTTTCTATGATTAAATAGATACTTTTGTACCTAGAAATGATTTTTGGAAAAAATAAATAGCAAACTATGAGGCAGCCGCGGTTCAAATTTGACCCGCTTCCATCTGAAACGGTGGAAATTTGTCTTTTTCACCAGAGGTGGATCAAAACTTTTTACACCCAAACATTTGGTCAATTGTGCATTAAATATGGCCTAGTATTTTAGAAAAATTATTTGGTCCAATTTTGCAACAAATATATGGTAGGTCCTTCACAAAAAAAGTCATTTTGGGCACTCGAAAAATGAAAAATGAATTTTTCGTCCAAAGAAAATGAAAACTTCCTTAGGCAACATTGTTTGCCATTCCAAGATGCACCCTTGTACACAATATGAGATCATTTGAACAAACTATGCCATAATGCTACCATAACATTGATCATTTGGCTCGAAAGCCATGAATCTTCACACATGATAGCTCATTTCTAAGAACACTTTTTTAAAAGAATTGCCGAATTACAAGTTTATTATCTTTCCTGGTAACTTGGTCACATTTACACAATGCGAAGGTTTTCCATTTTTTTGATTTTTTCTGAATTTTTCCTGCCCATTTCAAAACACGGTCAAAACAGCGGGAATGGCCGTTCCTAGCTAGCGGTTGAATCTTGGATTTTTTTTGGTGTTTCTCTGATTAAATAGATACTTATGTACCTACAAATAATTTTTGGAAAAAATAAAGAGCAGTCTATCAAGTACGTGGAGTTTAAATTTGACCCGCTTTGAGCTAAATGAGAGGAAATTTGTCTTTTTGACGAAAGGTGGATGAAAAGATTTTGACAGCCAATTGGACATAAAATATGGTCTAATGATTTCTAAAATTAGTGTGGTGCCATTTGCAACAAATATTTGGTAGATCCTTAAAAAACTATCTTTGACACTCGGAAAATAGGAAATTCTTGTAAAAAATTATATTTAATCAATTATGACCAATTTAGATGGTCACAAGGTCTTCAAATTGTTTGCTACGTTTTGATTGGTTCATGGGCATGTCACGTGGATCGTGCACCAACCACCGTCCTATTGTCCCGGATCCAACGGCAGCCTTCGCGCCTCACTTTGTCAACCACTTAACCCTAACACAGCCCTTCCATCTCCCTTCCTCAGATCTCCTACGCACCCGCAACCACCGCGCCAAACCCAAATCTCTAGATCTTGATCCGCCGCCGCTGCCCCCAACCCAAACCCCACCGCCACCGTCGACGACCTCCCCTTCCAACCTCCAACTAACCTCTAGATCGTAGCTTCTGCTTTTCGCTCGCGACGATGGTGGTGGATCTGACCCCGAGGCAGCCGGCCAAGGCCTATGGCAGCGAGGGCGGCGCCTACTATGTGTGGAGCCCTGCGGAGCTACCCATGCTTGGCGTCGTCTTCATCGGTGCCGCCAAGATCTCCCTCATGGCAGACGCGGCTGGGCATCACGCTGGACTGCGCCCGCGCGCTGGAGTTCCTCCACGAGCACACCTCCCCCGCCGTCATCCACCACGACTTCAACTGCAGCATCGTCCACATCGTCCACATCGACTTCCGTAGAAGATCCATCCCAGGTGCGTCTGTTCTCCTTCTTCCTCGCCCCGTTGTCTCTGGTCGTGCGCTCTCGGGCCACGCAGGGCTCACGTTATTGACTGATCGCTATTGTGGTTCTGCGTCGTCTTGCATTTGCGGTTGTGGATCCTTGGATCGAGCGGAGCGGCAGGTGCGCCTGCTTGCTTCGTCTCCTCTATTGCACGGTGGATCCATTCCGGCGGCCGTTGTGGCCAGTGCGGCCATGCGTGCCTCTTTTGGGTGATTTTGCTAGCGGAATGGTTGAATGAATCTAGCCGAGGAACTGAAATGCGCGGGGGTTTGAGGTATATGCTATTGTTAGGCATTTGTTTCACATGGATGCTAGCGCCATGAAGCCTGCACCATACGGAATCTATTGTTCATTTATGTGGCCTTGATTTGCATAGTATTATTCATTTTCTCCCACACATGCACCTAGTTATTTGACTTGTCCAGCTGCTCGTAAGCATCTACGTCAACCCTTCACCAACACCTTACACCTGAACTAAGCATATTATAATCGAGAGCCTCTCTATTTAAATACTTACCACACCTTCCATGAATCATGATATGTTGCCCCTTATTTGCAATCTTAAAAATAATACTTGTGCACCTGGCCATTTTATTCATGCTTATAAGTTGTTTTATAGCAAGCACTTTCTGCAAAAATTTTGTAAAGCTACATTTACTAAATTCAGATTGCTAGGATCTTGTTTTGCTGATATTTTGCTTTCCATGTGAATGGGTTTCCAGAGTGTGCTGATTGAACCAACTAGTGGCAACACAGGCATTGGGCTGGCCTTCATGGCTGCTGCCAAGGGTGTAGCATAATTTAGGCTTATTGTTTTCTGTACACAGATTATGTAAGCAGAGTCTTATATATTAACAGTCTATGCCAAGGAAAAAACCAAGTCACTAGCCTTTCTTATTAATTTATGGTTTCTGAAAAAGTTTGCTAGTCTCACTTATTTAATGGTTGCTAAAAATCACCCGTCTTGTACTTTGATTAACATTGATACTCCCAGTACGGCTGAACCTGGCAGCTCGAGAGCTGGGAACTGAACCAGAACCTGAAGTAGTACTTAGTAGTTAGTAGTTTTGTAATTAGAGTTGGAAATATTTAACCTCCCAGTGTAGCACAGTAGATTGTCCGTCCATCCGGCTGAGGCGTGTCATCATGGGGCTGGCAGCTCGAGAGAGGACGATGATAAGGTTCCTGTGATCCGCTGATTTGTTCATACAGTTTGAGCTAGTGACTTGGCCAGCAACCAACCAGCATGCTGGTTACTCATGTTTTCCTTATTTTTTTACAAGAGCTTGCATTGAAGAATGTCTAGTATTCAGTTTGTACCTCATCTAGTATATGTGCTGCTCAACATTCAACCTGCTTTACTCCGCTTATGCGATTCTGTTAAGTTTGTAGAGGAAGCAGCCGAAACTAGTGTTGCATCCTAGTACTAGCTTAAACCCTGAGATGCTTTGTTTGTTTTCTAGATAGATAGATTGCTTGTTCATCTGGGCTTCTGATGTGTTGTGCTTATGTGGTATGCTTGCAGCTGCCAACCTCTTCCTATGGTCCAAGCCGGCGCCCGGAGCTGGCAAACACGGCGATACTGCCAATGACAACTGGCTCATGGGACAACAGCGACACTGTCCAGCGCCAACACCGTCACCATCGCCGGTCGTGTGTTCCGGTCGGCTAGGAGGTAGCCGGCACCATGGAGGCTCCGAAGCCACTTCGTGGAGTATGGGTTCGCGCTGGACGGAGACGGGAGCGTCATCGATGAGGTGTTGCGGCTTTACTGCTCTGCTTTCGGTTATTGTTCTTTGTGCAAACTAGTGGCTTGATTTCCCATTTTGTTTGCCAAATCTGAAGGTACTGGTGGTGCCTATGCTGTCTATGAGATCCTACACCCAAGAGGATGTGGTGGAGCTCCAGTGTAGAGCTACTCATTTGATTCATTTGAAAAGATGAGTAATTTTTTTTCATTGACAGAAACTTCTCATCTCTTTTCTTCTATTTTCCTCTCTTCTCTTCTCATTGCTGCTGTTAAGTTAGGACTTGCTGCTGATGATTGCTATTGTTAGAAATCATGATTGCTTATTTTAGTGTAGGACTTGCTGCTATTGCTGTCATATTCATATTGTATTTTCCAAAGTTCGATAGCATGTCGTCCTTAGGATAAGTTGTTGATAAAAAATGGACTAAATTAAAGCACTCCCAGGACTTGATGTTGTTGTTATTGACCTGCTGCTGTTGTCAAACTGTTGTTGTCATTAACCTGCTGATACCGAGCTTTAACCTTTGTTTAAGCTTTCTTCTTCTTGCAATTACGAGTTGTGATAATTGTATGGTGATAAGAATGCCTCTGCAGGACAATATATTTTGCTGGTTCCACCGCGCCATCACATGAAACTTGGTGCTGCTGCTTCCTGGCTGGTTGTAGCTTTGCATGAAGCAACAAGAGATGGCTTCACTTTGCTGGCCTATTTTTGCCCCCTCCGACTAAGATGCCAAAGCATAGAGGTACACGCGTCCCTGTTAATATTGAGTAGAAAGCACACCTTCTGATTTTGAATTGGATTACTCTGAAATGTTGTCACCTTCCTTCCATGAGTTTATGCAAGCATGTGTTGCCAAAGTTCAAGAAGGCGCGCTTAATAGGCCGATTATGCATGCTGAAGCAAGAGGCGCTGGCTCAATGCCTCGCCTTGGTAATGTGCGGGAAGAAAAGCGCTAGGCCTCTAGCTGTACTGCTGATGTTGATGCTCTACTGCTCTAGAATCTAGCTGTACTGCTGCTGTTGATGCTTTAGGCCTTTAGCTATACTGATGTTCTTGATGCTCTAATGCTCTAGGCCTCTAGCTGTACTGCTGCTGTTGATGCTCTAGAATCTAGATGTATTGTTGTTGTTGATACTCTAGGCCTATAGCTACACTACTGCTGTTGATGCTCTAATGCACTACTGCCGTGCTAGTTTTGTTTCTGCTAGCTGTTGGCTGCTTCTATGCTGCTGCCGATGGTGGTTGGCTGGCTGCTCATGTTGATCCAATAGTTAGTAGTTACTGCTGGTTATATTGCTTGTGCATTTGTGCTAATGATGTAGCTATATTGGCTAAAGAAATAAGCTATGTACAACACACACACAGATAGGCAATCTTCTTCTTTTTCCATTTTCAATGTGTTATTTGCATAATTTCTTCGTTGTGGATTGCTTCTCCTTACTGCCTCCTAGTCCCCCTTTTCTTTCTGTTGTCACTTTTGCTTGTGGTAGCCATTACGTAGTTGTCTACTAATTATTAGTTAATAGTATTTGGCTTCTATGTGATGACAGATAGGTACTAGCTATATGTTTTCCAGGTTACACGCTAATTGTACTCCTTCAGTTAACTCTTTTAAACATAACTTGGTTACTTAAACCCAACTCTGCCCGTGTATATGCCAAGTGTAGCTTCCCCTAAGATATTCACTTTGCAACTTCCTCTATTGATGCTTTGCCACTAAATGCAATTTGCGGGGAGCTTGATAAAGCTTGGACGTTGGTTAGGGCTCCAACGGTGCTGATGCTATTGGGCTGGTTGTGGCCTCATGCATGGTAGTAGGCTTGGCTGGCCCCTGATATAGAGTGCTATATTGTTGAGAGTTTTACCTGTAGAGTGCTATATTGTGATTGGTGAAATAATGTATGGTGTATATTGTGATTGTGAGGAATATTGTAATAAACTGAGTTTGGCTGTTATTTGAATCGGTGTGTTGACTACAAGCTGTAAAAAATTAAAACTTGATGATTGGTATATAGGTGTGTTGACTACAAGCAATGTGCACCCAGTTGACTACAATAATCTAAAAATTGAACGTAACAAAAAAACAAAGAAAATCCGAAAATAGAAATTAAATAGAATGAGAAAAGGCTAGATCTTAGAAAGCAAAAAGGTCGAATTAATGGGCCAAGCCCATGTAATTGACCAAAATTAATAGTAAAAAATAAGTAAAAAGGCCGAATTGTTGGGCTCGGCCCATGTAGAACACCGAATTGGACCGGGCTGAATCTAAGTAACGACCTTTTGAATTGGTCGCAATTTTGCCACGTCATATTGCCATGTCGGATCCGACATGGCCTGAGCAGACAGCTAGTGACCAAAACAAAAGGTCATGGGTTCAATGACCTTCTGTTTTGGTCGTAAACGTCTACGACCTTCTCATAGAGAAGGTCGTTAATTTCAGTTTACGATTGTCAGCTTTTGACCTTCTGTTTTTGGTCACAAAAAGGTCGTAAATGAAAAACAATGACCTTTCAGTGACCAGTAGTCAAGGTCACAAGTTGACATATTTCTTGTAGTGTCATATCATGCATACGGTGTCTTGCATTGCATAGTTTAGACATCATATACACAATATTCAAGACCATGTTCTTAGTTTAGACATCATATCGAATGCCCTATGTTTAGCATATAAATCACATATGTGAATTAAATGATGCGATCCTGGTTACTTAGATAACATGTAGGTGAATTATGTCATGCGATCCTGTTTAGTTATTCATCATATCTTTGAATTATGTTATGCTATGCTATCCAATTTAGATAGACATCATATATGTGAAATTATGTCATGCTATCCGTTTTAGTTAAACAATATACATGTCAACTATTTCATGCCCTCTTTTTCCACACAATCTATTGCATCTGTCTCTCATACAATGTCTGTACATTCAACTATGATTCCTGTTTATCAGCCATTTGAATTGGAGCAGGTGATGCCAGTATCTAGCGGAATAAAAACACGGTCTTCAAATAAAACAGTGCAACCTCTTGGTGGAGATAGCACCCCAGTTGTACATGCACAAGAACCAGCCCTACCACACATAACCCAAACTCTCGCAGATTGTACCCCTACTGCGATGGACAGAGAACCAGCTTCACCCAATATAACCCCAACCCCAGCCAATAGTAACCCAGTTCCTGTTGACACAGCACCATCTCCACCA